CCTATAAATAAATAAACGAAACAAAAAAAAAACTTCATTTTGTATTTCTGAATATCTTTCATAGTCATATTCTAAAAAATAAAAATAACTTTTTTAAGTTTATTATCGAGATGAAAAAAAGGTTTTTTGTATTTTATTAAAAGTAATAATGTTTTTCAGGAGGATGGTAGAAAATCAAAAAATAATAGACGTCCACAAAAGGTTGATACACAAGATATGGATCCAGATGAACGTTTTCGACAGCAACGACGATATCATGGAAACAATCATACTAAATAAGATCTGAAATTACAAAAATCCTATGATGATTAAGTTAATCGTACTCTTTCAACCAGTGAATTAATCATGTCTTCTTTTTCTTTCCATTAATCCATTGAAGCTCTTTTTTTAGTAGAAAATGAATTAACTTTTTTATTATAAAATCTCAAATTCTGATAATTATATTCTACTAACTTTAATTTTTTTCATCGTAGAATGAACAATTTTTGATGATTTTTTTTTCTAGATAACCTGAGTCAATCATTGGGGAAAATATTAGAGAGAATGACTTGTCTATCTTTCAATTTTTCGACTTCGGATAGAAATAGAAAATATTGGTTATTTGTTTTTGTTCAACTACTCGTTCCAATCACCATTGTCATATGAGTATCATTTTTATCTTCATACTCGTCAAGCATGAACACTGCTTTTAAATTTCGTGAAATAAACATATTTCGTTGAGTGTCTGAAATAACAATGTATATTTATGGTAAACAAATGTTTGTTTTTCATGGATTATTCATCTTGATAATGCTAAGTCTCAAAGGCTTTATATTGTAAAAACATCTTCATGCGATTGAATAGTTTGAAAAAATCTTTATTTCGCACTTTTTCTCTCTGCTTTAATAAACCAGCGTTTTTTTTTTCATTATTACTTTTTATAAAAAAAGAAATAGCGTATTTATTAAACTAGTATAAAGTCAATATTTTTCTTGTGTTTAAATATTATTCTTTAGATGAATCATAATGTTTTAGATACGTATTGAAGCAGTCCATTCTATTTAAAAAATCTTGAACTAGCATCAGCATTATGCGGATATAAATTTAGTTGATTATGCCTAGAACAATTCGTTTTAACATCGAATGCTATATCACAATGTCTAATTTGTCACGATATATTTGACTTATCTTTATTCATCTTCTAATAATTTATAAGTAAATTCAATTCTTCATAAAATTTTTCGACACTAATAAAAACAAGAATATGAAATACTGAAAATATTAGAAATACTCAACAATTATCATCATGTGATTCTGGCCGGTTACCATAGAGATGTTCATTATTTATTAATTTTGAGTATGATGATCAAAAGGAGCTTCAATAATTTACTAAACAGATGACAATCAATGTACGTCATATATTGAGATATTCACATATTAGTTTTGATATACCCTTATTTCGATAAAATAGATTGAATGGCAAGAAAAACAAAGCACTGATATAATCAAGATTATATTTTTACTATTTCTCTCTCTATTCAGTTTAATGCCAAGGCAACAAAGTTGATTTCATTAAGAAGTTCGTTTTTTGTCAATTTTAAGATAATAGGAAACCAAAATATGATGCAAATTTAATTTCAGAAATCAATGGATGATACTAGAATTAATTCGTTCCTATGATATTTTGTGCTTGGTTTTATTTATATATATTAAACTACTTGTGTAATTCGCCAATTTCCATCTGTTTTCTTTTTTTTTTGTTTTTGATTTTAGATTGTTTGATTGTATTGCAAATTGTATCCTTATTCTAAAAGTCTTAGTATTATTCGATAAAAAAGAATTATCAAATATTTAACCGTTAGCAAACATATTCATTTGTGATGTCACTAATCATCAGTAAAACAAAAATGATACAGTGAATCAAAACAAATATTTCTTTTTTTCTAATATTTCATCATAAACCATATGTTTATATCGTAAAAGATTTCGGTTTACTAAATCAATGTAAATCTCTAAATAAATGAAAATAGTGAAAGAAAAAAAAAAATTCTTGTGTTTTTTCAAAAGTATTCTTGATTATGAATTTGATGACACATACATCAGAGTAATAGTTAAGCATTTTTTATTGAAGACACCCGAATACTACCGAAGTTATCTTTGATCGTATTATACTCTGATATTAGTGAGATAAAGCAAAGAAAACATATTCAAAAAAAAAGTAAACACTACAAAAATATTTTCAATGAAATTCTATATTTTTCTTGTTTCAAGGTTATGTGATTATGTCCCAGTTTTCTTTGGACTTTTGAAAAATGTCATAATCGTATATTCTCTTTCGTTCTTCAAAAAAGCGCAGTAGGTACATTGGTTATATAACCATTGCTTACTATTGATGTATAAATAGTTACCGTCTACAAGCATGAAAAATAACCCTTTTACATTCTTCTTTTTATTCATAGACAAAGATGTTTGTCAGCGTTCTTTCTATATCAACAACCATTATTATTGGTACATTTTCATTTCTTGTTCTCCGCCAATACAATCGAGTAAAAAAACGTGATGCTGCTCGTCGTCGAATACAATCTTATTCATCTACAAAATCCTCATCATTATCAATTTCTTCATATGATCCATTAGATCATTCATTGTATTGGTATCCTGTTGCATTTTCACATGAGATACAATGTGATTCAGGACGACCATTTGGTTTTTACTTACTTAATCAACCTTTATGTTTATATCGAAGAAATGATGGTGAAGTTGTATGTGTATTAGATGCTTGTCCACATCGATCAGCACCACTTAGTTTAGGTCAAATAACAAAATATGGTAATCTTGAATGTATTTATCATGGTTGGCAATATGGTGCTAATGGTCAATGTGTTTATATTCCATCAGTATCAAAAAAATCAAATACAGCTTCATTAATATGTGCTCGAACATTACCAGTTCATGAACAATATGGATTTATTTGGATATGGCCAGGCAAAAGAGAATTAGCTAATAGTGACTTGATTCCACATCGACTTTTTAATGATGTCCAAAATACAAATGGTGAATTTTTATTATCTCCAGAAGATTCATGTTCTCTTGATATTCCCTATGATTTAATGGTTGATAACTTACTTGATATGGCTCATGTCGATTTTACACATGATGGAACTATTGGTAAACGATCACAAGCATCATGTATTCGATCTGAACGAATTATACCTTCTCCTTTTTTCTCAACAAATAGTGAATCAGCTTCTTTCAAAGTAAAACGACACGAACAACCTAAGGGACTTTCATGGAATGACTTTAGCAATTTTCATTTTATTCCACCATGTTTTAGTCGTTTGGAACATCATGATAGTAAGAAGGGACGAGTATTTATTCAAATATTTTGTATGATACCAAATGCTGAAAATAAAATGCGTCTCTTATTACAATTCTATCGAAATTTTGCTTGTTATAAATGGATTGAATATATACCTGGTTATGATTATATTGTGGAAAAAACGAACAAAAAAGTTGTTGATCAAGATGTACTATTACTTAATGGAATTCATCGTAATATCGCTCAAATGGGTGCGAAACCATTAGGTAAAATTGTATCAGCTGATGGACCAATTAAAGCATTTCGTCAATATCAGTCAAAAGCTTTAGCAAAATTCGAAACGATCTATTTAAAACAAGGAGCATGGAAAGCAGCAACGAAATCATCCGATGATGAAATACAGGAAGTTGACATTGAAGATTTAGCAGTTAATGAATCAATATAATCTTTATAGGAGGGAAAGCGAAGCATGGTCAATATTATAACTAGTCGTTGTAAATGAGATACTGTACCCTATATCGTATTATACTTGTGAGTGTCGTGTAGTATTTATGAAATGTTTGATTTTATATTAAGTAGTTTTAATGTATTGTTGTATTCGTTTGACAGCGTGGTAAGAAAAACTAAATTCGCATCAGAAAGAAAATAAAAAGCAATTTTTTTGTTGATTATATACATGAGATAACTAAAGAGTTGATGCTCTCTCTCTCTAAGTTTCTAAATGTATCCAAAAGATTTCCAATTTAATAAAAACAAAAAAATATTTTTAAATCAAATAAATAAATAAAATGAGCAATATAATTAATTTCAACATAACAAATACATATTAATACAGTAAAATAGAGAGTGTACCAAGAAATGTATCTTATCATTTATGAAAATGAAGGAAAACATATCTGACGAGTGCTGCAGAATAAATGGCGCTCTCAATATTTTGGCTATAGCTTTTTTTTTGTTTATGTACTTTATAGCTGATGGTTTTTCCAAAAAATGCGCCGTCAAATTCTCTACAGAACCGTAATTAAACTTATTTTTATGAGGAAAGTTAAGGAAAAGATTAAACGAAGGCTATCGAACATATAAAAACTGTCCAACATTCAAACCTAAGAGGTGTTTCATGAATGTTCGGAGCTTATAACTCTTATGATTTTTCATCATCTAGTAAGTGGTTTTTTAAAAGAAAAGTATACTAGAAGATGCAGCGGGTGTAGGTGTGGGTGTGGGGTGTGGGTGTGGGTGTGGGTGTGGGTGGGTGTGTGGTGTGGGTGTGGGTGTGTGGGTGTGTGGGTGTGGGTGTGTGCATAAAGTGAACACGCACACTCAAACCCACAACCACAACCACACCATCCCACACCCACCCACCCACACCCACACCCTTGATAAAACAAAAATAGCTCACCAATGATAAAATTTGAGAGCTGCTTTTGATTGTTCTTGTTTCGTAAGAATCTGATGAAAATTGTGAAGTGATTCTTCGTTGCCCGTCACATAAAGAACGCCGTCGACGTTGTATTTTACAAAAAATCGATAAAGACTGTTCAAGAATGGAAAAGACACGAGACCAATTTGAAAGTAACGTAGAGCAAGTAGCACTTGAGGATGATGTTGTTTTCCTTTGCGAACGAATATGACGGGATAATTTGATTTTCGTAGAACGAACTTGAGAAGAGCACAGACTGCTGGTTCTACTGGATATTGGTAATTAGCTGATGGCCGTAAAACGTCTGGATGGAATAGCTCGTGGATATTGCCATGATCGTCCTATACAAAATAATTAGATAACATATCGACGAAAGCAATCTTAATAAGAGAGTAAGGGTAAACTGGTTACAGGTTTCGCAACGAAATCTGTATGTTTTTCTCATATTTAAGAATATATATCTAATGTGAGAATAGAAAACAAAATTCCGTCGCTAACTGACTAAATACATATTAGATTGATATAATTTCTCATGAAATATTTTAATCATCCCTGTTTTTATCTTCTCATTATTTCGACGATAGAACGAAGATTATTGGGCAAATCACTAATTCTCTTTGTTACTTACTAGCAAGATATTTGCACTCCGTTGCACTTAAAAGTTTTAAGGGAATGGTTCTTAGAAGAAGACTTTTGCTGATACACATTTATGGACATCTGGTTACACACATAATTATTTCTCTAATGTTAAATATGCTTACTTGTACAGTTTGATTCAGAAGTTCTTTTTCAAATAAATACACTAACATACTAGCCATAGAGCCATCGAGACGTTCTTCATATTGTGCAGCAAAAAGAAATAGATTCGTAAGAGCTGCAGCAAAATAACATCGAGATGGAGATTGTATTACATGAATTTTTCCAATTGACTGGCTTATGCCTTCTTCCATTTTTGATGGATTTTCTTCAATTGTTTTCAATTCTTGTTCAACGTCGTGTTGATCATATTCATATTTTAATGTACTAATGTTGTATTCGTAGCCATTCAGCATGAGCCGCTGTTGCAAGTTCAGAGCAAGATAATCTTCAAATGTCATTAAGTATACACCTGACCGATTGCATGATGAAAGTGAAAGATAGATACGAACTTCGTTGTTCATCTTGGTGAGAGAAGGAATGACAGTATTGCTAGAAGAAAGCTTATTCATGGTCTGATCCAACACTTCTGATCAAGAATAGAATAAATGAATAACTCTTTCTTTCTTTCATTGATAATCGATATCCTTTCGTCATTCGTTTTTATCTCAAACCAATCAGAAACAGATTTCTTTTCTTAGCGGTGAACTGAAATCTTGCGACATCTGCCGCGATTGTTTCGAAGTTTCGAGAGTGATGTGTGGTTAAAGTATCGAATGAATACAGTGTCGATCCGAATGATATTAACTACTTGGAAACGTTTCTCTGTTATTGTCAAGATAGCGAAAAGTTAATGCCATAACAATCATAGTCTTCCACGGATATCTTCTAAGTAGAACTTCTTCGTTGTCAACAGTAAAGAGATTGGTGAGTTTTATTCTTAGATATTCGTATGAATTATATAGTTCTCAAACAAGTCGAGCAAGACAAATTGATGCAGAAAAGTTTTGGGTCTTTTTGAAGACTTTGTATTTCATTTTTTGCTTGACGAATACGTTGACGCTCGATATCGAACAATATTTTCCAATCTTTCGACTGATCAATCAAGATACAATCGATTTTTGGATTGCTTGGAAAAGTCATCACGGTTTTTGTTTGTAAATTGATAAATTTGCCTCGCTCGAAAAGTACTGACGCATAATTCTCGAACATATATTTCTTAACACATTCAATACGATGTAAGCCAGTGGTGGCTCACGGCAAAAAACATTGAATATTTCCACTGTGTTTTAACCAAATCAGCTGGTTTTTTCGTCGATGATAGAGGAATGTTAAAAGTTTTTATTTATAAGAGAAACAGCAATAAACGCCATGGTTAGGTGTTTTCATTGGCTTCAAGAAGAAAAGATGACTTTGTACAGGTTTCAGAAAAAAATATGTACATGCATGAAACTTTGAATTGCAATAGCTTTAATGTTATTTAAAATATATTATACTAGAAATATTCCTCTACATTTTGAAAGAGCTATTAGTCTAATTTGTCAAAACTTCCTGAATTTACAACGGTTTACCCTTGCAAAGTAACTCATCGAATACCTATGTGATTGTACTTTTTCGAAAATTGCAGAGTTACTTTTGCATCTTGAAGCAAATTATAAAGCTTAACGCGGCGTTCATTGACGTTTCTCTTATAAATAAAAACTTTAAACATTCCTCAATTATCCACGAAAAACTCAGCTCATTTGTTTAAAACAGAGTGGAAATATTCAATTTTTTTGTCGTGAGTCACCGATGACTCACATCGCATCGCATGTGTTAAAAGAGTGATTATCAGTGCTCAAGTAAACAACACTCAATTGACAATCAAAAAATGATTTTTCTTCACAACAAATACTATTTATGAAATGACAAAGTCAGCTGATGAAATATACACAAGCTAGCGAGAACCCGTGCATACTGCACGGCTGTTTTGTCCTTTAACGCATGACCTCAGACATTCAACTTTTCATCCGGTAAAATTCATACAGACACTTGATATTATGTATATAGAGAGATAGCCCTACGGCCTCATACTCTCATATCGCACATATTTTCTAGTTCATATACTCTTCGGCATTATAGCCTTATATTCCTTGCAGCCTTATCTCCCTATTGCCTTACTTCCTTCAGGGTCTATGGGTATCACAATATAATAGCAGTTGATGGCCTATCAGTACCCCGCTAGGATAACCCTTCAGGACCTATAGATACCCTCATAGAATAGTCCTGGAGGACCTATGGACACCCCCATAGGATAGGCCTTGGGGACCTATGGGTACCCTCTTAGGATAGCCCTTGAGGACCTATGGGTACCCCCATAGAATAGCCCTGGAGGACCTATGGGTACCCTCATAGAATAGCCCTGGAGGACCTATGGATACCCTCATAAAATAGCCCCTGGAGATCTCTCCCTTAGAGTCTTATTTGACCTTTGGCCTTTGACCCGGCACAGAGAAACAGACAGACACTGAACATTATATATATAGATATTTGGCTAAATAAAACAATTATTAAGAAAAATACTTTTTAAGAAAAAGATTCATGAGTGCATATTTGGCATTTGGATCAAGAAAAGTTCGAATAACTTGACACAAATTTCAAGTCTTATTATTAATGATTTTAACAAAAATAAATGGTTTTCTATGATAAAAATTAAAAATTTCATGGTGAAATTTATCTGAAAATGCCGTATGATGTCTTCTCTTTTACAGAATTTAGAGAAGCTGAGAAGGACGTATCTTCACCACAACGTTTAGATAAAGTTTGCTTTGCGCTTCGAATGTTGCCTATTCTTTATTGAGCAATGTTTGAACACAGATGAGCTCTGTTTATGGTCATTCGTGATGTGGCCAGATTTTCTTAAGTGTTAAGTATTTTTCAAATGATTTCTTTTGGAGAATGACAATTCCATAATTTATTCAGGTTTATTTTCTTGACTTTTTTGTCAGCCATATATTGTAATAAGACACGTTCTTATTATTATCTTTTCAATGTCATTAGCGATACATGCAGTGCTAAGAACTTGTTTGATGAAAGTTGATTTTACGGATAACACAAAGACATTTCTGTTTCATAAATATGATCTATTTTGTGAATTTTAGATTAAAACAAACAATGATTCTGCTATTTCTCTTTCAAGAATTGAATATGCAGTCAAACATGTTTTGCAAGATAACTTTTTGTTCAGCTGAAAGAGTCTATTTAAAGCCTTAAAAGTGAAGTTCGTGAAATGACTTTATGAGAGAAATTCATTTGTCGATAGAGACTCTGTCGAGGAAGGAAAAGTTGATTGCAATCAAAGCAATCATCGGCAATCTTGGCAGGCAGAATATCAAATTTTCTTCCGGAACATTAAAGGTTATCGAAAACATGATTGTCATCCTCTTTACTGATGACAATGAAAAGTGTATTCAGAAACAACCTAAATTCTTTATCTGGTGACAAAAACACAAAGAGCAATCAATAGCAATCATTGACAATCAGATAATCAGCATTTGCCTGTTTGTATTCTGTGGGTTTGGGTTATTCTCCTTTAATCACCCACATCCTGTCGGCGGTGACTGTTCAGTCGGCCGGTTTAGACTAATAACTATAAGCATAATACATGTTGACCATGAAATGTTGGTATGGATGTGAATATTCTCTATAGTCACAAGCAAGATCCATATTATTGTGCATACTCTATTCGAAATGAATTTCTTTGTATGAGATGTCTTTTCATTGTTCTTTTATCTTCAATGTTTTAATTTTGATAAGTACAATTTCTCTTCACAAAGCTCACAGTTGAAAGATATTAAAATAAAACGAAAGACAGAAAAAGAGGATAAATGAGAAAAGTAAAAAGGTTGCTTTCTTCCAAAAGTAATCAACGAATCGTTCAATTCACTCTCAACTAACATCCATACGCATATCTTTCAATAGTATTTATCAAGTCACCATTATAGAAAATTTCGAATTTAGACTGACTTATTAGGAAAATCCCTTCAGAAACTAAAAATTTGAAGTTATCTCTACACTATTAGACAATCTCAAGAGATATCTCTGATCGAAATACATTTTTTCCTGCAAACAAACTTTCTCAATTGTTTTAAATGACCGTGAAAAAGGCAAAGCAACCAGACTATTTAATTTAAATCGATTACAATAGCTAATTTTCCACATTAATCATTTGAATAAGAAAACGATTCTTTCTTCTGACTGACTTAGCATTCAATGCTTTATGCCAACAAGTATTATGATTACATGACACAAATGCCTTCATTCAATTTACTAATTTGATCAAATGAATAAAATATCTGTCGTAATCTTCTTTTATTTTTGTTATTAACAAAACTGTCTATATCGACATCGAAGACAAACAGTGAAGTGTCAGAGTCAACCGATATACAAAGAGGTTAATATAAAAAAATCATATTAGATTTCTTCATGTTGAAATACTGACAAAGAGTTCTAATCGTACTCATTGAATGTTGTTTGATGGAAATCTTGCTATCAACAGTTCATATGAGTAAGATTTCTGGACTAATGACTATTTGAATTGAACTGACGTTATTTGAAAAGAGAAACATATATTAAATTTGAATAAATCTTAGAATTATTTATAAATCTTATCAAAAGACTCGTTGTTTAATACGTTACGATCGAGAAAAGTTATTTGATATTTTAAACAAAAAACTTTATAAAAATATTCTTTAAGCATCAATATTAATTTGAATTCTATCATATATATCGAACACAAATATGTCAATAAGTCTTTTATTATAAGCCTTTTTATTGATAGAAACTTCTCATAAAAAAATTTTTCTTCCACTTTTCAAAGATTCACTTATACTTCCTAGCATATAGTTCCTATCAAAATTCTTTCACACCCATAGAATGTTAACACAGCTTCATCAAAATTTTTTCATTGAAAATTTCAAATATATCGGAGAATTAAATCGTTTATTTGATAGCAACAATGATTGAATCATTTCAAACTATCTTATGTAAGATAGTACTATAGCAAGAGTTTCATTTGGCAGATTTTGTAATGTATATATATCTAATGAGAAAAGAAATATATGGTTCATTAATTTATTTATTATTATTACTGAGATTTCTTTTACAAAATCAAATATTTGATCTACTCATAATTTTATTTCTAAAAAGGCAGAGATACTTTTCAGTCAACGAAATTAATGTACTTCGAGTCTGACAAAATTTTTTCTTATTGTTGTCAACAGATAACAAACTAATTGAAATTATAAGATTTAAATACATAAATATAAATCGTAAACAAAGATACCTCATGTTCAGATCAATTTTATTAACTAATAATATTAGTAATTTTCTTTTATACATTCACCATTAGTACTATTATTTTATTATTTGTTTAGTTCAATTATACATTATAACAAGCTCTCTTCAAATGAAATGCCTTACT